GACTAGACAGTTTGTTCATTCGTTGTGTTTTCTAGTTTCACAACAATTTTTTGGCAATTATTTATAACATTATTGTTGTAATTTTATAAAATACAAGTATGCTACTTTTACAACAATCTTACTCCACTACTGGGTATAGGTTTGTCGTCTTCTATGTCATTGGGAAGAGTTCAGCATGAAAGTAGTTTACCACACATTTAAAAATAAAGACCTGTGAACACTAATGGAGCAATTCAACTGTAACTCACCTGAGGTAGAATAAAAGCATCTAACTCATCCTGTCCCTGATTCAAAATCTTCCATGGAGTTTTAAACTGAATTGTTCTGCAGGGATAGGCAGAGTGTTGTGTTATATGTCAAAAAACAAAAGAGGAAAATAAAAATAATGCATTGGACACTTGGATTCTAGGAGTAATAGGTTCGTCCTCAAGTCAGAGTGAACTTTCTGAATACTTATCCCATTTGGGCAGCTGGTAAAACTGTGGGGAGAGTGATTTATTGTCATTGAAGTCATACCCTATTTCCGTCTAGTATCTTTTTTGTGGGGTTGTGTGACAAGTAATGATCTCTCTTGGGAATAATCAAGGCATTTTATTATTGATTTTATTTTATTTTTTCACCGCAGCACAAATATGGGAGAAGCACATTTGATATACCACAGACAGAAGGTGGTGGCACCCAAATTCTCTTCAAAATTGTATATGGGCGTGAATGTTAGCATATGAGGTAGTGTCACTAGAGATATGGAGGATGGTTTCCAGTTATTTTTTAATGCTAGAAGGGTTACAGAAGTTGTCTGAGCAAATGATTGTTACCAACTTAAGAAATGTAGCACTTTAACACTTTTATGTTCCTGCATAAAAGACTGAAGTGGATGTTTAACATTTTATTGTTCATTCTGGAAACCTTCTAGTGCTCATAGAAAAAATATAGCGTTTAGGTTATGATAGTTAATGCACTCTTCTTGAACACATTCTAGAATTCATGGTCATTGGTTAGTCAATGACCATCACTACTACACTTGTGTGCATCTACTTGAAAGAATCATGAAATGAAGGAATAAAGTGCACAGATTTTGCGCTTGAGAGAAAATAATGGTTACTTGGATTTTATTGGCTCTGAATGAAAGTCAGATCCATGCGGTTTTGAGTGCTACTAACGTGCAAAAACTGAACCTGAGACACTCATCCCCATGGATTTACATGGGACCCAATTGAAACAAAGATTCTCCTACTTTATTAACATTTACCTTTCTAAAATCCATAGCTTGTGCTTGATATTTTTTTATCAAACTTTTTTTGTTAAAATCAACAGCTCTAACAATGCATGATCACTTGCACCCAAAGTTCCAGTCATTTTAACATATTCAATCAACTCATTCTTGATAGTAAGATCAAATCCAAAATAGTAGATCCCCTAGTGCCCATATCAACCCTTTGAAAGAGAAAATTTGTCCCTAACACAAGTAAAGAAAATTTACTGGACTATATAAATATGATTGTGTGACAAAAGCCAAAATTTTCAGAGGATAATATTCTTTTGAATTATATATCTACTTAGTACATGGAACCTGACAAGTAGACAACATAAATGGATTCTCCATGCCCTTACTATAGTCAAAAGACTGATATTGCAACATTGGAAAGATAAATGTATGGCTGCATTTAGTCAATGGATTGAAGATCTGATTACACTTGCTACTTATGAGCAGATTGCCTATAGACATAGACTTTGTATAGATAAGTATAATGAAATATGAGACTCATTTATACAAAATACACTGGGTTAAAAAAAACAAAACAGGATAGTCATATAACTCTATTAGAAATATATCTGTACTTGAATAACATTTGTATTAGATAAGCATATATAGAATTGGAACTGTGTACTATTATGATATATTAATTTTTTGTTGTACTTTTTCACTTTTATATTAAAGCACTTTTATGTATTTTTCCTTTTTTTTTTTTTTGTAAAAAAAATATATTAAAAAAAAGTCAAGAAAATTTGTTCCTAACACAAGGTATACTGATTGAGTGTACCTAGAGTGATGCAAATGTATGAAAGGTACTACTGCCACAAATTAAATTGTACAACATTCATAACAATTGCCAGATCCAAAACTGTACTTTGTAATAGTCATGTTTATTTTCTGAATTGTTTTTATTAGATTTATTATTTTTCTCAAGGGTATGTCAACTATTTTTATAATGTCACACAGATCAATTCATGCAAATGTGCATTCTATTTCTAGTGACTGTTATTTGATTGTTTAAATAACAGTAACAATACTTTCTGTTACAACTCTTTCAGATTTCAGCATTGATCCAGTCCCTCTGGCCTTTTTGATGATATCAAGTCAATTCATTTCTAACTACTACCTGTTTTGTTGCTTCAGCTTAAAATTTGGAAGCCTAGCTCTAGGCACAGAGTTAGGAATGCAGACATGGTTCTTTTGATAATATTCTTAAGGAATCAATAAACATGGGATATATTTTTGTAATCGAATATTGCAGCCTAATCTTCCTTCAAACTCCAGCTTGCAAGATACTTCATCTAATTTTGCTTGCTTAAAAATAGCAATGAAGATTGCTACACACGCTCTATTTCCTATAATTTAGATAGCTGTGATTACAAGCAAAGCACCAGCCTGTGAGACACATGAATATTTTACTATTTTCAGCATCTGGCATTTGCAACACATTTCTTCCTAATTTATGTCACATGAATTCATTTCATCTCTCATAATCTGCAACGATGTATGAGCTACCTTGTTCAGTAAAGAAATAAGTTTGTGCTGGTTCTTTTCAGAAAAAAGCAAAAGGGTCCTGCAAAAATTGCCTTATGATGTGATGGCAACATTGAGAGTTACTTGCAGCCCACCATTTCTTTATGCCAGAACCATTTATCTCAATGAATGATGTCTCGTGATTGGTATTCGTACAACACTGATCGTAGAACAAAAAGGCTAAAGTATGAATTTAAATTCTTGTTCAAAACCCACCTTCCATATAATGCATACAATTCTATTATGTTGATTTCACCATCCTTATCATACCTTTAGACAGGGCAGTATTTAAAAACAGAAGCCCTGCTTTTGACAAAATAATCTTCATAAGAAGAAAAGAATGTGTAAGAAAATTTGCATTCTTTTAAAATTTTGTACAATTTATTCTGCTTCAGCTGGTCAAGTGTTGTGGTTGCAAGAAGACATTTACATTTTACTATTACATTTTATCTTTGATCATTGGGAGTGGTAAGCATCATTCTTAAATGGTAATTTCCCATAGTTCTTCCCCCCCCGCCCCGCAAGACCTGTCTATTTAGCCATTAGTGTTCAAAACTTTCCTTTAAAACAAAATTAAACAAGTTTTTAGAGAGGTATGTGTTTCAGAAATAAACATGTTTACCTTTTTATTACAGTTAGGCCATGAATAGTTTAGTCCTTAGCATCAGTCCTTTGAATCCCATTAATTAGGCCATAAATAGTTTAGTCCTTAGCATCAGTTTTTTGAATCCCAGAAGAGCAGGAGTCACTTTTCAATCTGTCTTACCCATCAGTTTAACACTGGACACAAACAGAGGCTGGTTTCACACAACACGGCAAACAAAACTCAAACAAATCATATGATGGATGAGGTTGGTGTGTGGTTAGTAAAACATATGAACTTTGTTTTAAGCCTTAGGGTAGTGTGCGAACATAGCCATTGACTTTCTTATTTTTTTTTTTTTTAAAGACAGCAATAGGCAGTGACAGATTGACTGGCCCCTGAAGTTCCCAGTGTGGAAACAGAGCTAGTGTTTTGAGAAACAAAATCAGTGTGAGCAAGCATAGAACCAAGAAATAAAATATTCTAAAGCCTTGGAAACATGTAGCTCAGGACGTGAGGCTCCATAGACAAGAATGTTCACCTGTTGGCTTATACTTCTTGCAAAAGGAGCAGACAAGCAGCTGGTAGATTTATGACATGTTGGAAATGTGCTCTTATAATGCAGCCCTTCTTGTGGCTTGAGCATACGGTAGACATTATGAGCTGCAACATTGAGCCATTCCCCCTGCTGTGGTCATCAACGAGGAAGACGCTGGATATGCTTAAATCAAGAACTGTCTGAAAAGAAGAAAAAAAATTGTTTGCTCTTCGCTGCAGTCCTGACTTTGCCAAGTTCTTTGCCCTAATTGCTATGCATCCCTAGTAACCAGAAACTTTTGTGCTGTCTACCTGAGGTCTTGGAATCACAATTTCTCTGTGGCAATTACCAGGTGCCAAAGAGAATGACTTCTCTGCAAACCCAACTGCCTGTATAACAAAGTATTTGCTTTTGGTCCTCTACATTCATGGTGTTGCATTGTGACATTGTTTTAGGACTCCAAGACTCATCCTGGTTTCAAATTATCTTGGAAAAACATATTTTTAATTTTTTGAAGCTCATAAAAATAATGAAAGCAAGAGGCTAGATGAACCAAAAAAATAAAAACAAAGCATTGGTCTTAGAATACATATAATGCAAAGGTAGGTGATTCTGTCACCTGTTCATCTGGAATTTCTATTTCTTGGAATTGGATTAACCATTGTGAGTAGAATATCACTGGGCTGAAGGATCTCCATAGAGTGTATGTTTAACACTTGCAGCCCCACCTACTTCTAGGTATCTCTCTTTTGTTTCTCCATTGAATCATATTGAGCTTGCCTTCATTAATGAAGCAGAAAGGATTCAGGAATGTACTGTAATAAGGATATATAATTCTCCCATCCCAAAAATTGATATGTGAGGAGGTTTCTTTGGGAAATGGTATAGACCAGTTAACAGACTGTTTTTATCTTCCCTGTGGCTCCCTATCAGGGAGGCTTTTATTAAAAAAAAAAAAAAAAGCAAACTTACCTATCTTATTATTTATGACTAAGCCTGCACTATCTTATGCTATACCTGTACTAACATCTATACCTATGCCTATGTGTATATCTTCTCCCTAAACAGTCTATTTTCCTTTGTTGCTTGAGCTTACACCAAAGTCTTTGACCACCATTTAGCCACTTTCAAGCTGGCTTCTGTTGATATCAGCTGCTGTTCTAAACTGCTGCTGGAGCTTTGGCTTGGCAGTTTCTTAGTCTGTGCTGGGGTGGAAGAGGAAGGTGCTTTACCAGTGGCTGGCTGGCTGGAGCACCTCAGCGTTGCTGCTGGAGCACTGAAGGTGCTGGGCTCTGCTGCTCCTTTCCGCTTGTCTGCTGCTGCTGCTGCTGCTGGTGGTGGTGGTGGTGGTTTGGTGAAGTCCCAGCCTGCTTCCCCTTTGCCATCAGTTACCTGTTGAGCTGGCAGCTGCTTCCCTCTCTGGGCTGCCAGTTCTTCCTTTCTGCTCTCCCACACAAGACAGAGCCTCCTCCACACACATCCACATATCCCCACTCTGATGCTCTCACTGTTCTCCTTTGATAGTTGGAAAGCAGATGTGGTGCAAGGCTCTTCAGGCTGCCTTAAACTCCCAGGGGAGAAAACAAAGGGAAGGAAGAGCTCATGCTGGCCAATGCAAGGCTTTCCTTCCACACTGTGCTCTGCCTGCAGATAAACCATGGACGAAGTAGGTGTGTTTATTGTATCTAGCCAAAGTAGATTGGATTTAGCCTAGCATCCTTTAAGAATATTATCTGACTTTGATTCTGTGATAGAGGTTGTGCTACATTGCCTTAGCTAAGATAATGTAGAGAATTTATCACACCATAAGAAGTGTTGTAGTTAGTTATAAAAGCAAAACAATTATTAAAAAAAAAATTCTTAGGTGTGTTTTATGGAGTTCACAGCCAAATGGATGAATAATTTGGTAATATTCATATTTATGAACTCTTTAATTAACTGTGCTCCAGATTGTCCAGCATTCTGTCATTTATGCATGGCAACACTGCTTATAAATAGGACTACCATAATAAATTTCTCCTGGCTCATAGTCAGTCTCCCGGTGATACAGGTTACAATTTCATGCACACCTACCCAAAAGTAAGTAATTTAATAGATTATGTTCTGAGGAAACACAACTTGAAAAATATTTAGAATAATTTTAGATCAACTGTCAGAGGGGGTATTGGATCTTACAGGAACACTAGAACTGCATAGCACCTTTGCAGTTGTATCCATATATTTACACTGAGATATGACTAAATACTAATGAAGCACTTTCACGCAACACAGCCACTGTTGCACTGAATATTTAGATAACATGTATTGAGACAAGAAATCTTGGTCTTTATTAAGTCTATGGAAAGAAGCTTTAAGTCTAATGAATTAAAGTGGCAGTAATGGTGATAAAGCACATTTTTCAATAATTTCTATGTTATCAATTACACAGAGAAAAGTGAAACTGTAATATGTGAACTGAACTTTAAAAATCATCATTTATCCAAAAAATTATTATTATCCAAGAAACCCTGGTGACTTTCAGGTGCACTGCTCTGCAGATTGCCCGGTATAAGGGCCTGTTTGTGAAGTTGTATGGTAGGAATCAGAAGGGACTATTGTTTGTGTACCAGCATAGCAACCTCCTCACTTAAGCTGTTCAAGTCTGTGGCTGGGTTGGCAGTGGAGTTCCCAAGACTTATGGGCGTAGACTTGGAGGTGGCTTGGAAGTTCATGGCCATCACAGCAACCATAGACCTGACCCAAGTTATCTCTGGTCTGACTCATAGCAGAGCAGAGGCCACACATTAGATCTGGTTTTCATTTTGGGGCAGTGTCAAGGTGATCTTGAGTTGGAGGATCCCTTGTCATGGACAGATCAATTCCTGTTGGCTGTGGCATTCTCTGGTGCTACACCTCCCTGCAGGGAGGCAGGACCTATTTGAACAATCCACCTCAGGCACCTATTGGGTTCCAGAGGGAGTTTCAAGTTGTTCCTGAGTATCTGGTACATTATTCGACTGAGGCCTCAGTTGCTGCTTGGATTGAGAAGGAAACCTTGGCCTTGGATCAAATCATGCCTATGCAGCCTTTCTATGCACATGGCTCCCTAAGGGTCCCCTGATTTTCAGAGGAGCTTCAGGTGATGAAATAGCATGAGAGACATCTAGAATGCTGCTGGAGAAAAACAAAGAGTGAACTCAATCAAAAATGGATAAGATAAGATAATATGACAATAAGGGCAGTGAAACATAACTATTTCTCCACCCTTACTGCATCCACAGAGTGCCAAGCAGTGGCCCTGTGAAAGTAAGTGGGGCTTATCTAGAAATACCTTCAGAGCCACTGTGAGGACTATCCCAAGCATCTGCTGGATAAACTCTCTTGGATTTGCTCTGGCTATACAGGTCCTTTGGAGTTGCCTGGTCTGGTCCAGTTATCTGGGAAGAGTTTATGCTTGTTGGCTCTCATGAAGGGACAGGATCCTTGGTGCTATGAGTTGGGCCACATGTGTTTTACATCCTGTCCTGTCTGGCTGACTAAGGTCTCCCAGGAGGTAATAGGTGGTTGGCTCCAGGTGGTGGTAAAGGCTTCTCTGCAGGAGGGGCTGGTTCCATCCACCTCTAAGGAGGTGTTTGTCCCCTCCTTAAGAGACCATTGCTGGACCCAACAGATCTGGACAATTTTCATCCATTCTCCATCTTTTCCTTTTTAGGGAAGGTTTTTGAGAAGATGGTTGGCTTACAGTTCTAGAGGACCCTGGAAGAAGTGAATTATCTGGACTCTTTTCAGTCAGGATTCATCCTTGTTATAGTACGGAGATGCTTGTGTATGACCTCTGGTGGGATCAGGAAGGAGGTAGTGCATCCTGGCCTTTCTTGATCTATCAATGGCCTTTGATACCACTGATCATGGTATCCTTTGGGCCCAGCTTAGGGGATTTGTATTTGGAGGCACTGTATTAGAAGGTTCTCCCTTCTTCCTGTCTGGTTGCAGTCAGTGTTGGGGTGGGGGTGGGGAGAGAAGTTGAGCCCAAGGCCCCTACTTTGTAGGGTGCCAGTCCAATTTAACATCTGCATGAAGCCTATGGGTGAGGTCATCTGTTGGCATGGGGTGTGATATCCTCAGTATGTTCACTTGTGAGTATCTGGATGGGGAAGATTCTAGCTCAACCCTGGAAAAGTTAAGTGGCTATGAATTTTAAGTCCCGCTGGTTCCAGAGATTTTCCACATTTAGCCCTGCCTGGAGGTGCAGTTCCCCAGTTAGAGTTGGTATGAAATTTGGGGTCCTCCTGGACTCATGGATACTGCTCAAAGAGCGGTAGCAACTGTGGCGGGAGGGGGGGACTTTGCACAAGTTTTGCATGTGTACCAGTTGCACACATTTCTGGACCAGGAGCCTTTGCTCACAGTGACTCATGCCTTAGTTACCTCCCATCTGGATTACTATAATACACACTACATGGGGCTGCCCTTGAAGAGCATTCAGAAGCTGCAGCTAGTACAGAATGTAACGGCACTGGCAGTTTTTGGCATTTCTCACTATGTCCATATAACACTGCTGCTCCGCAAGCTGAACTGGCTCCCAGTAAGCTTCAGGGTACAATTCAAGGTACTTGTTGCCTCCTATAAAGCCCTACATGGCATAGGGTCAACTATTTGCAAGATAGCATTTTCCCCATTGTTTTTGCACCAGATCTAGCAAAGAAGAGATAAATTGGAAAAACTGTTCTATGGATATCTGCTAAGAACATGGATAAGCAATGCATTATTCATAGCAGTGAAATGGATTTAATATAAACAGTTCAAAGTCTTTTGTAGTAAATGACCAATTAAGGCAGCAGTGTTTAATTTATAAGAGTGCATTCATTAGGAAAGTCTTTATATCCTGATTAACAACTACAATACATCAATGGTGTTCATAGGACAAAGTAGTAATATGGATTAAATTAATGGCATTTATTTATTTTAAATATTTGTATATTGTCAATTATCTAGTGGCTCTTCTGGAAGTGTACAGAATTTAAATTAAATCTAAATACAATCAAATGTAATAGTTAAAATGTTGGACTTCCAAATCCTTATCCACCCTTGAAACTGATTGGGTGATTTTGAGCTTGTCACTCATTCTTGGCTTAAACTATGTCACAGGGCAGTTTTTGTGAGGATAAATTAAGGGAGGTCTTTCAGATTTGTGTGAAAGAGCTACGAGAAAAAACTCTGGCAACAAGAAACAAGAAACTAATTCATGAAATAATAATTATTGACATCTTTTAAAATCAGGCTATGCTTTAAAAAACATATTTTAAAAGCAGGCTTTAATCCAATAACTTGTAGATGGAAATATGTGACGTGGTTTGTAGTGAGCCATATTCCTAGAAAACTGTTCTTCGATTGTGTTAGCATCTGTTTAGCAGATGGATGTTTGTTCGGTTTCTGCCTTTATGCTATTCTTTAAAGATTTTTTTTAATCCCACCTTTCTTGTTTTTATAAATTACTCAAGGCAGTGAACATACCTTCCTCCTTCTATTTCCCCCCACAACAACTCTGTGAGGTGAGTTGGGCTGAAAGAAAGCAACTAGCCCAAAGTCACCCAGCCAGGTTTCATTCCTGAGGCAGGACTAGAACTCACAATCACCTAGTTTCTAGCCTGGTGCTTTTTGTCTATATTGTATATTTTAATGGCAGAAAGAATGAAATTAGGAGCTGTAGTTGTTATATCATTTTCTCCAACCACTTTTATAAATTCTTATTTTATTACTTTATGGCTCTTATGTTTTATTTTTGTTATTGTTTTAATAGTGATATTAGATCTCTTGCACTTTTTTTTTTAAAGAAAAGGTGGTATTTCAAATGAATCTTTTAACTAAATAGTCATCTTTTCAATACTGTAGTCTGAAAGACAGGCTGGAGCCAAAACAAAATGTATATTCGCATATCAATAATTTGTCATTATTATTTAAAATGCAGATAGCAACTATTGAAAGGGTGATAATTAACTTCCAGGAGTCAGTCATTTGATGACAGCAATATATAAATATAATAAGCAAATTAGCAGTACTTAACCAGCTGTTATTTTGTTCTTGTTTTAACTGTGCTGCCGTACATTTATCATTATAACTTACTTGGCTCTGGTTTTTTTTTTTCCTTTCTTTTAATTGAGGAGGAGGAGGTTGTATTAATGAATGTCCAGAGCTTGGCTATATTGTGCTTTGTAACACTGGAGTGTTAGGTGTGACCCCTCACTCCCTCCTTGCCCTTTTCCAGTGGGCTCATATGGACTGAAGGAGGATTAAGAGCACTGTCTGGAGATCTTGAACCTCTTAGCTATATCTCCATAATCCATGATTAGTCAATTATATCATTTGTCTCCATGTGGATTAGTAAGAAAGGAATTGCTAATTTTCAGTGGACTTGATCAA